TTTTTATTTTATACTTAAAGTTTGAAGAATAAATTCTAAATTTGTAATTAAAAATATGATTAATTTTATTATTAGATTACATGATTGATAATAAAAAAGTTAATCTTATTTGGTTATTTGTAAAGAAAATGTCACATCATAAAAAAAAAAGAAACAATGTTAGAGTTAAAAAAATTGAGTAATTATGATATAATATTAAATGAGCATGATATAAATAAATTCATAAATAAAAAAATCAATTATATAATAATATATTATTTTAAATTTATAATATTACGTGGTATTATAATTATATCATTTTTTTACTTAAAATTATCAAATCAACAAGAGTTTAATGGGTATTAAAAGAGAAAAGCGAAATGATGAAGTATGATTGTGTTAAATTTTTGTAATTTATTTCGACATAGTAAATTTTATTTAACATAAAAGTATTATGAGAAATTTATTTTAAGAAAAAAGGTCAACAATTTATTTTAATAATCAATGAAGGTAAAAAAAATAATCTGTAAAGTATTATGAGAAAATTAGAATTATATAGATAATAATACATAAAATTTATATATAAATAGTTCACTGCTCAAAAAATAAATATAGCATTTTGGCAAAAACTGAAAACACAAGAAATGGACCATATATTTTGTACACGAGGGTCAATTAGCCGTCGAACCAATACCTGGCGATTACTTGTAGAAATCAAGCTCCTTTGGAGGAGTCCCACCACAACTCGCAAAGCTAGATAGAGCTTCTGCAACAAGTACAGAGGGCACTTGCCACCTAAAAACGATGCCAACAATCAAAAGACCGGCATTGTCCCTGCATATGGCTGCCATTTACTGCATAACCAGATTTGGAGCAGAAAGAGGTATCCAGCCACTTGCATCGAAAAACATTCAGAGGAAGAGGATGCCATTTTAAGTTAGTGGCATAACATAGTGCGGTTTCATGACAGGAGGCCTTATATCAGAACACAAAAACTCTATAACTATTTGTTGCACTCGGCAGACCACTGCCGTTACCAACTTTACCATGTTATGTTTAGGGGCATAACATAGTGGCTTCATCGTAACACAGATGTAAGTTGCATCTAAAAGAGAGGGAAGATAAAGGGAATACATTACATTCAAGGTTAAATGTTAAATTTGGTCCTTCAATTTTAGTGAGTTGCGTATTTTTGGTTCCTTAATAATTTTTTGCATTTTTTTATCTCTCAACTATAAAAAATATACGCCGTTAGTCCTTTTGTCAATTTAAACCGTTAACTCCACCATGTGGCATTTTTTATATTTTTTTTGATGACATGACGAAAATAACTTAAAAAAGTGTTAATCTGTAATTTTTTTTTATGACAGGTCAATGCCAACTCATAAACCAAATTTGATTAGTATTTATATTTTTAATAAAAAAATAAAAAAATTTGATCTATCTTTTTCCTTTCTTTGTTCTTTTCTTTTTTCTTCTTCTTTCTTCCTCTTCTTCCTTTGTGTTGCTAGGTTCAAGGGAACCTAGCTCAGGTTTGATGGAACCCATCTGCTAGGTTCTATCGAAACCTAGTTGTTGGGTTCCTCAAACCCAGATCTACAGGATTCGGTGGAACCCAGGCTGGGTTCCGTCGAACCAAGCTCCACTTTTTTTTTTTTGTTATATGTTTGTTTACGAAGAGATTATCCAAATTGCAG